CCACCATTGTCGGACGCCGATAAGTATGCCTGTGTTCTAGAATCTGACGAATGGTGAATATGTGGTCGGTGCAGCCACGACCAGGTCTAAAGCCAGCTTAGTTCTCTCGTGTTTGCAGTTCACGAGTCTTAGTTAGGCGTCTGATAATTATCGAGGCTAGTATTTTAGATATTATATTAGTTAGACTAATCCCTCTGTGGTTGTCACAGGATGATTTTGACTCTTTCTTATATATTGGGACGATAAGTGATTGTGACCAGTTAGATGGAATAACGTCTAACTCCCAGATTTTAGCTAAAATATTAGTCAACCTAATCGCCAAAATTGGACCACCATCCTTAAAGACCTCTGGAGCCAGTCCATCTGGACCAGCTGCTCTTCCTCGCTTCAGATTAACTATAGCCTTTTGAACTTCAGCAAGAGTTGGGGGACCTACTTCAATGTTCCATTCACACTGTCTGGGAATGGAGGGTAGTTGTAGAGTAGCTGAAGGCCAGCTGAACTGTTCTCTGAAATGTTCCACCCATCGTTCTAAACGCCTGGACTGGGAGCAGATGAGTGTATCGTCTTTTTCCGATATAATCTCACTTACACTTGACTTATTAATTCCAGTTTCTTTTATTAGTCTGTAGAGCTGTCTTGTGTTCCCTATAGTCGCCGCCTTTTCCATCTCTTTTGCTTTCGTTGCCCACCACTGCTCACGGTCGTTTCTTAGACTTTTTCTTAACCTAGATCTGATTTGTTGTCGCTCTTCATCATGTTCGGAACCTGATGGGACGAGTTTGCGAGAACCCATCAGTGTGATAGACTTTGAAGAAATCCACTGGTTCTTTGAAACTCTGTGGTTTAAGTCGCTAATAGATGTCACTGCTGCTTCCACAGCTGCTTGTATATCTTTCCAAGCAACATCTGGGTCAGCCTCGTCTTCAGAACTATCTAAGTGTGACCTCAGTTGTTCTTGGAACCTACTTTTGGTTTCCTCGCTACTCAGTTCGGTTCTAATGGGTGTTTTTACTGTGGCTTTTTTGCGTCCAGTGAGGCGCAAGCAGATGCGTGCCCGTATTAGGGCGTGGTCGGAGTCCAAGCAGGTACTCCAGAATGAGCGACAATCTTGTACCTACCCTCTCCAACGATGACTGATGGCAATATGGTCTATTTGAGTCCATCGTTGGTTTGGTGCAGGCGGTCGCCATGTTAGACGATGTCTCCTTATGCTTAAAATTTGTGTTTGCTAAAAATAAGCGATTGTCTGAGCACAGTTGCAGCAGACGGTCACCATTATCTGTTCGCTGTGCCGGAGTGCTAAAATATCCACCTAAATGCCTTTCTGTTTGGTTTAAGCTACCTATCTGAGCATTAAAGTCACCCCCTACGAGTACTATGTCTGAGCGTTTAGCTTTCTGAAGAAGTTCGGACAGCTTTCTGTAAAATTCATCTTTCACATCATCTAAGCTGCAGTCAGTGGGAGCGTAGGCAGAAACGACGAAAAGGCAACGACGTGTGTCCCTATCCTTCCGAGTTTTTACGGAGCCGTTTAGCCGAACAGCACATAGGCGACTGTTGACGGGGATCCACTCTAGCAGTGCTTGTTCGGCCCTCATGCTTAGTGCTATGCCTACACCTGCCAGTCCACGAGAACTGGCCATCGGGTCACCAGATACACGTAGGGTGTATCTCGTTGGCTCTCCGTTTTGCCAAGGTGAGGTCAAGTGAATGACCACACTGGAATCCTGTATGCGTGTTTCGGAGACACAGCATACATCAATGGAAAGAGACTCTAGGGTTATAGCCAAGGAAGCCTGCTGACCGATTTGACATAGGGTGCGTACGTTGAAAGCTCCAATGTGTAGTTTGGAGCGAGGTTTCAGTAGACCTGGGACAGAGTTTTGAGCACTAGAATCGTTGGCTATGGTGACATTTTAGGAGGAAGCCGAAAAAGGAAGTTTAGAGGTGAAAGTCGATGTAGGAGGAATAATAGGAATTGAAGAGGAAGGTTGATTATGAATACAATGGTCTTGGGTGCTGTTAGAGGTATGAGGGCGGTTATCACTTCCCGGTTGCCCACATCGTGGAAGGGTTCTTCTGGAGGTACCTGAAAAGGAAATTGGATTAGAGGCGGTCTCAGTGACCTGAGAGCGTGACCGCAGTGCCCAAGGGACAACTGCTTGAGGCCGGTCGCGCACGGCCTTTTTGTGGAAGGTTTTTGACGTGTTAGCTCCGTTCTTCAAAGGGCCTTGCCGCCGGAGACGGAAATCCGTGAGGTAAGGTGAGGTGCGCATTTTTAGGGTCGAGCTTTTCTAACCCCACCCCTCCTTGTGGGAAGGCAGCATCGCTGTCATGCTGGTTGTCCGAGGGAAACACCTTACTGCTGTCACACCTCTGTACAGTCAGCCGTACGACTTCGCCTTCGGACCTTGGGTTTGTTGCTTTTAGTCTTACCGCTCATCAACCGACCTGTCTGACATGGTAGGACCTTGAGGAACAGTTGTTCCAGCCAGTATAGCTCGGTTGCTTCATCACGATAGGCAAGCCCGACCACCACGTCAAGGTAGCAACAACGGTCGGGCTCCAAATAATCAGTCGAACAATATATATTCTCATGCAGTTGTAATCACTTATTGATTGTGAATGCCAATAAGCAAGACAATCGGGATTTATGGCTTTATTAATGTTGCATCCAACAATCTAGCATTAAAAATCACTTACTGATTTCAAAATATATGAAGACCAGTCGTAACAAACAAATAGCCTGGCATAGATTTGTGTTAAACCGCATTGTCATACTACGTCTGCACAACTAGTTAGAAATAACAAATGACATAAATAAAATCATAGTACTAGTAGTATCAACCATAGTAAAAACTATGCATAATTGTCGTACTTGATAAATGTTGATTTAAAACCTGGGTATAATTTTGATTGTCATTAGAATAAATATTTTTGATACGAATGGATGTATATGTCTCCAACGATTTTATCATCAATAACATGGCTCAGAATCGATCACAATGGCGTCGGTGTATACACTCTCTATGTTCCCTTAAACCGTGAGATTAAAATTGCTTTATACGTTTATTTCTGCGAAATAATTCTTTCTTACTGTACTATATCCTTATACACAATCTTTCTTTTATATATTACAACCATTGAAGTGACTACTATGAATCTGGTGTTCATCTTGTTGTGCTAATGAGGTGTGGCAACTTGGACCGATGCATATATGTGCCTGGTCCTACGTTGTAGCTGACTGACTGACTATCACCAGTAATAGCAACAAGCAGCACTAACACGGACTGAAAGGACTTTCTAAATTTCAGGCGTTCTTGTTTTCTTATCATCTTATTACGCATATTTTTCTACATTTACAAGGAAGTAATTTCATATCATAGCCTGTTCTTATCTTTTAGTCAATCACCTTCAGAGATATTGCAACTTGGTTTTCTATTTATATCGTTACATATATTCACAAATTGTCATATCATTTTCATTCTTGACTGATACAAAAGCGAGCTAAATAATCAATTAATTTCGACACTCGACCTTGCAAATAAATTCCTCCATCTTTTTATTGGAAAAATCAATTTGTTCGTAGAACTTTCACATATGTATTGATTCTACCTGCTATCATATTTATATATAATTGTCAATATGGTCATGCACTTAAATCAATATAAAATCTAATGTTCAGTTTGTAAAGTATACAAGAATCCATTGGTAGCTTATATTGAGTAGATTTCGTATATTTTGGCATCAGATTCCTACTCCTATTTTAAAACGTTTATATTCAGAGAAGACCAAAAGTTTTTCTGTATAATATCTACACCATGTAGTCGGATGTGAATTTGTGTTATCGAAAAAAGGAAGAGGGGTTGTTTATTTCCACTTTTTCTCAAAATAACAATCAATCTATAAAAGTCACGCTATTTTTTGATTATTAGTTTGCAGCATTACATGTTTCCGGACTCTATCTTATGTTTCGCTAATCAAGATAGATTTAAAGAATGTTCCAAAGCTTTCAACTGTATTTTAGCAATATCTTATATGACTTAGCATCAGTAAAAATTATGTATTATGGAGTATGTTACTGGGGTTGTTTTAAACACTGGCAGCGCGTTTCTTACGTTTAGTCGTTAATGTTTGATGTGGTTATTTTCCGTATGCCATTATCGATAAACGAGCCACCAATTTGATATGTTACAACTAGGCCCTAACTCTTACTTCAGTCTGTTTTGTTCATGAGTGTGTTCCACTTTAACAATACCTACGCAAAGAAATTATCATACGTTGTGATAGTGGTTGAGTAATTCCGTTTCGTAGTATTTTGTCTAAGCATTTCTATGCAGAAAACTGGTATTCTATGTTTTTCATTTAATAGTAAATTTGGACTATTAGAGTTATAACTTATATAACGTAGACACTTGGCTCTCAGAAATTAGGCCATCTTATTTCACATATTTCGATTTGAACACCCGAATGAATATCATCATATCATATCATTGAATGTGTTCCACTATAAAATTTTACTTGCAAAATCAGTTATGTCTGCCTAAGAGTTTGAAAAAGAAACCATCATACTTTGGTTGGAGTGGAAGATTTGATCTAGTGTGGAATCATTAAAATGTAGTCAAAATTATAATCTTAGCCTACTCTATTATTTCTTTTTACAAACTCTTAACAATCTGAATTTGTTAATGACTATTAAAATGAACTGATAATGTATGTGAGAGTTAACTTCAGTAAATAGCCATTCAAAACTTGTAGTATCGTAAGTTTGAGCACTTGTTTTTTTTTGTGGTTACGTAATTTTCTGGATAGCTAGATATTGTTACTACCAGCACTCATACAATACTCGATTAACATGTAATGGATGGCATCAACATGTTAATTATTCGTTGTATCAGATTACTCAAGAAAGCTTGGATAATAAATAAAATTAACTATGGAGTTATAATTAATATATTTTCTTTCTCTGATCATTGATAATTACTTTTTTGTTGTAGATTTCGTTTATTTTGAATCATCAGCCACTGCTCCATATCAAATCCGTCGAATAGATGAACTTAATAAAGTAAGCACAATGTATCTGTCAATTAACTGTGTTTTTGAGTTATACTATAAAACATTACCATTAAGAATAGAGGATATTCGTAGGCTACTAGTTTTCGGTCACGGGTGTCTTCGAAGCATAGTTCATGTATTTTGGGACCACTGAATGACAAATGTTGGGGTTAGGTGTAGGATACTTGGTAAAAATCGTTAATTGTTCGACAAGGCAGGTAGTAAACCTTTATTAACTGAAGTGGTTAGAACATATGTTATTTGTGATAAAGTCTTTATTCTCTATATGTTTGTTAGTTATCATACGTTTTGCAGACCAACGATCGTCGTGTTTCTCAACGGAGATTCTATATGATTAATTGCGTAATGACATATAGGATACAAAAGACTGGTAATAACTGAGCTGTTAGCGTTCATACGTTCAATACTTGGCTCAACCACAACATAATTTTGAAAGATTAGTACAAATCTGTTTTTGCAGTGACGCTTCGTAGCAAACCGTTGGAAATTTCGCTAGTTTCTGTAATTTACATTTGTAACATCTATCAACCAATGGAAATTTTAATGTCCAGTTTGTATATTACCCTGCTCTACTTATATGTAACTTTGCCTCTTAGCTGACACCGTTCAGTGATTATAATATATATGCATATAATACATCTAATTTCTTGTTAAATAAACAACATATCCATATCTGTCTGTAAAGACCGTAGTTATGCACTTAATGAATTGATTCTAACGGGGTAGTGAGTCTTCATCAACTGGTGTAGTCTGGACGTGTGTTACGTATCTTCAACCACCATCTACCTCGACGAGCGATGTTATCTGGTGTTGGAGTAGGCTGGAAATAAGCTAGTGGCGGCCAAACCAAAACATAATATCAGTTCATGAAGTCGTTGACAGTTGGACTAAGCCACATTAGTTGGTGTAGATTACTTGATTGGGGTCCACGAGATTATCGTGACCAACTGTTAGAGAATTTGAGTGACACAACTCAGAATAGTTCGCCATTGCTCAAGTAAATTCACTGTCTTCCCTTGGAACCTGAGTCCCAAAGTCTCTTCATACTTTTTCATTTCTTTTCCACATCTATTATTTTCTAATACCTACTGATACCATTATTACTTCCACTACTCTGTGATTTGTCATGATAATTTTATCTCACTTTGATTATGGGTAGGTACTTAAATCGATGCATGTATGAGTCAGATTCTACGTTGCATGTGACTGACTTATTTAGATTATTTCCATAGGTAATTTCTTTGTACATTATGACAATATAATGTAATTAAGACATTCATCATCGTTTCATTAGAATGTGAAGAGTTCTTTAGTTCATTTAATTGTTGTTGCCTTTTACTTTTAATGTATCTAGTGTATTTCTGTCAAAAATCTATTGAAATAGCAAATTACTTTGGCATAATTCGTTATTTGTGATATTCAAGTTCGCAACAAATCAAAAGTATTTAAAATCAGAATATAGTGAAACGTCAGATCATTTAGGTAGTATCCGTCACTAACTTATTAATGGGACTCATTGGTATCTGATGAATAACTTACACCTCTGGTTTTATTAGAACACATTTTTTGATTATATTATGATAATACAAATGATACATAATACCCTGAAAAGCCTCATTAATACTGAAATACTTTCTGTTCAAATATTTCATCAAAACTGGAACCCATTGTAGTTTCTTGCTACTGGCTTAGTGATCAAAATCGGTTATATTTCGTGTTAGACAAATTCTGCATTTATGTGTTGATATACACATTTTCGATTAGCTAGCTAATTATTTTTTTCATTCATGTCCTTATTCTTATTGTTGCTAGTGTCCCACCTTTTACATCCGCAACCTACTTATTGATCGCTTTTTTCTTGCTTTTATTGATGGTCAAGTTACTCGTTATTTTTCAGGTCTATTGATTTTTTTTATTGATTGTAAATTTCTTGTTATACATATTTAATCTCCGGTACTATACAGATATATATCATTTACTACAAGGTTTTATCTTTCTATTACTGACGCAATATGTATTTTAAAATTACAGTTTGAGTTTCCTCATTTTCTAAAGTGTAAAATCGCGAAAATTTACAACTAATTAATTGGACTACCTTACAATTTAGCTACGTCATTAAACGATAGTGTCACTTCTTTTCTTTTAAATCTGTAGACTCCTACTGGTGCTGTTGAAGCTAAAGTTGCCTGTTACTACCGTAGACGTGATGTATCCAGTGCTTTGATTAACCAGGCAGAAAAATATTGTAGGTTCTCATTGAATTTATATATATATATATATATATATATATATATATATATATTGGATTGATTATTCTATATAACACGCTATTCTGTTTTCATGTTCTTTTAAAACCGATAATTTACTGTTTGTGTTCAGTATCTAATGCTAAAAACTATACACCGTCAACGACTATATGTCAGTATAGAATAGAGTAAATAGTTATGGGTAATATTCAATGTGAAAATACAGTTATATTTTACTTTAAAGAAGGTTTACACTTACATTTTAAAATCGTTTCATATTCCTACTCACTTGCAAGTGTAGTATAAACGCCTAAATGGTGGTAAAACGCTAATGGTTATATTTGTACTTTATTGTGTTGGCAAAATAATTTGATTGAAGCTCTTACCTTCTTTATTATTTGAAAATACCTACTGTACGATTCACAAGTAATCAAACCTTTTGATACTATATTCTTACAAGTCAATGACCATTAATGATTACTATCTTTGTTATATATAATAATGACTTTTGAATGTAGAGATAAAGAAATAAAGTGAAAAGAAATACAAAAATGGACATGTATATAGATTTCTCCTTGTTAGTATGACTGTTTAATTGAATTCTAATGATCAATTTTCTTCTGTACAACAAAAGAAATCAAGCATTAGACTTATCTATACTGTTTTGCAGACAAAGTGATTTATGTGCAATTCGCTTTATGGAATGAAAGTCTTATTGAGATTTGAATCAAAGTACCCTTTTGTTGTGCATATGATTGACCTGCATTTCTTACTAACCGGTTGATTGTCTGTTTGCTGATATATGTTAGATTGCTTTTAGTTTATATTTAGATGGAAGAAGTTTCTTTGAATATTTTACACAGTCGTTATTCACAGTAGTACTTTGATTTCAAGCACTGTAAAGTTTTAAACTACACTATCTTAATTGGTTATTGCTAGCACCAAACGATGTTATATTCTTTCCATTCGAACCCACTGGACTTCTCTTAAATTAAAATTGATAAATCACAATGGCTGCGCGTATATGCAGTAAATTGGGTGACGCCATGTTGGTTACCCAAGTCAACCATCTTGATTTTTTAGTCTTAAGGTCATGTCTGTATATTTACTTAACACTGGTCCATCTTATTGTTTGTTTGTCTGTTCGATTTTACTACTTGTCTGTATGTGACGACCATACATGTGTATACTATAATTGTATGTCTGTTGATATGTCTTGTTTACTGCCTCATATATATCTTGTTCTCATTCCTTTGGGCACATATCCGATAAAAATTTACAGGGAGGTAATCTTTAATTAACGTAATTCTATTATTTTGTACCATGCATAAACCGTAACTATAATTTGTGAGTAACTGAGAGACGGTTCGTCTTTATCGTATAAAACAGTAGGAAAACATTAGTTGTAGTGTTGAGTAAAATTTTCAGATATATTTCTTGAAAAGGGAAAACGAGTGATAAAAACCCAATTCCATAAAACAGATATCCAACATTTCTGCATTGGTAAACTGCCTCAAGGCACACAAATGGTGTTGTATCAAGTTTAAAAGTTGTTTCCCCTACGTACCTACATTCCAGATTTATTGTTTAGAGATATTGAGCGTAGATTGAATTACAGTTTTGAAATCATTTAGCTGTTTATTTCTGTCAATGATAGTAGTGACAGTAATGTGAAAAATATCTTTTTTTATGTTCACTGCTTGTACATGTATATGTATACAGTTTAGCTTTGTATTGTCATTTCATCTTATATTTTCTAATATAGATGGCAGTGATGATGATTATGATGAAGAATGTACAAATGAAATAGCCAATTCAAATAATAATGATAATAACTCCAAAGAAGGCTTAAAACGCTCTAATACTGTAATCACCGAACAACAAAAGCATCAGTTAAAACATCGAGAATTGTTTCTTTCGCGACAAGTTGAATGTCTACCAGCTACGCATATTAGGGGTAACATATTATTGGACTATTTTAATTATATTTGAATTTTTTAAATATATCCATTGTTTTCTTTTTTTGTTTGTTATTCAATATAAAAATTTCTTTCTTGTCAGTTTCATTCTTTGTTCAAGTGTGTTAGGGTTTTGAAACTTACCATTGAATTACTATCACATATTAGATAATTCAAACAGTCACCAATATATTCTAACACATAGGATATAATTCGTATTACTATTCATTTGTATTAGGTATATTTTATTACTCAGTAGCTTGTAACATGTTCTTCAGCTCAATTTATTGTATGTTGTATATTTAGATGAACTTTTGTGCTCATCAAAATTTATCAACAGCCTTGACGAATCTCAATTTTTCCTGTAAAATTTCTAACTTTTCAAGTCAAAACTCCTATATTATTATTATTATCATCGAATTAATCTGATCGTCTATTGATATTATGTAAGAATGTGAAATGTGAAAACACTTTTAGTAAGATGAAATTCAACGGGATATTCTTATTTATCTATGATTAAGAAGAGTTTATATATCTGTTTTATCACTGTCCTTTCATCTTGTAATTTATTAAATTGAACACCAGGAAATACATTGTTTGGGGGTCTTCAAGTTTATATATATGACAGTGTTTTGACTAATAGATCATATTAGGTCTAGTTTAATGCTCCTCATAAACTTATTATTTATATTTTATCCAGGCAAATGCTCGGTTACACTACACAATGATGCAGAACCATTGACAAATTACCTAGCCAGAGATGAGGCATTTTATTATAAACTTATATATGATCCTAATTTAAAGACTCTTCAAGAAGATAGAGGTTCAATGAGAATTGGATCAGATTATCAGTCTGAGATACAATGCTTACTAAAATCAAGTAAATTGCTTTCCAACTATATTGGTTGCTTATTGATTGGTTTATTTATTGCAGCTTTTCATTCGCTTATAGCTTCGTTGTTTTCATAATCCAGCATAACTTTCACATTATTGTTATTTCACTTCTTAAAATGATGAGTAACATTCTTATTATGTTTGCAAATATTAAAATTTGATGCTTAAGTTATATATATATATATGTACAAATAAAATAGCCAATTCAAATAATAATGATAATAACTCCAAAGAAGGCTTAAAACGCTCTAATACTGTAATCACCGAACAACAAAAGCATCAGTTAAAACATCGAGAATATATATATATATATATATATATCCCGTTGTTACCTCCTCCGATTGCCGTGAATAATGACTGATATTCGAGGATTATGTTTATTGTTGTTTAATTCAAATTACCGACTCCTACGTTGTTGCTAGTATACTGTATCAGCTGACTTCTCAAATCTATTTATTAACAGCTAAATTTCTCCCTACTAGCTACCGCGCTATTTCTGATGATATCAATTTCAGTGGTAAAAATGTTAAAGTGATAAGAATTCTCGACTACTAACTCACCAATCTCTTATCTACTGTTTTTTTTCCTCATTTAATGTATTAAAATGTTAACACTACTTGAAATTTGATTGAAATGAAGTCAAGTTCAGTCGTTCAGTCCTGATTATTTTTGTTGTTTTCAGCGATATAGGCTGCTATTATATGGAACCTTATGGGATACCCTACAGTGTACGTCTTTTGTCACGTACCTTTGAAACAAAAATTCAATTTTTCAATTTTGCAAATAATCTTGAAATTATATAACAATAACAAATAATGACGTTTGCAGTGTTGAGAAAAGGTTTGATTTGAATGGTTCTGTGTAAGACGCCATTGGAAATTGATATAACTGTCAACTTAGTTGTGTTTAGTCCAGAAAGTCACTAAAGAAAAAAAACTAAATATCCTGAAATAATAAACTCGGAAAAAGAACTTATACATCACTCGAGTACATTTATTTCGTTCAGATTGACTTTATTCTGTAATCAATGTACAACCATGTCTTAGAAAATTGCTTGAAAATTGTATTCATCACTAATAATTCTTTTATTAAATCCTAAATTCAAATTCATTTTTATGTTGATTGTAGAATCAGAAGATGTACGATTGACTGAAGTACATGAGGAGTTAGTTTGGTCCCCTTCCCATTCATTAACAGTTCAAGAGATCGATATGTTTTGTTTATTAGCCAAAGCCGTTGGCACATACGGTCGTGCACATGATACTTCATCATCTACTAGACAACCACTTCTACTGAGTGCTACAGCTTCAGCTGCACGTGATATAACTCGTCAACATGCGCATGATATACTTCATGAAGCCAACTACGATTTGAACAAAGCCATAAATCTTCTATTACCTGGTTAGTTTAATTTTATTTATTTCTTGTAATAAATATTATTTCATTACCTTCTATTTGGGCCTTGCAACAGCTACCTCGAAAGGGTTTTTGTTTTTTTTCCTTCCTAATTTGGCTTGTTTTCGTGACCCGATGCAAAGTTCATTAAGACTTCTCTCTTTCTTTTCTTTCTCTCTCTCTCTCTCTCTCTCTCTCTCTATATATATATATATATATATATATATATATATATATGCATATGTATATGTATATGTGTTTAGATTCTATACTGACAAAGAAAAATCGATCGAGCTAAGGTGTCTAGCATCCTGTGGAGAATGGAATTCTATGCTTATATATGTATATTGTTGTTGAATAAAAAAAGATGAATGCTCATTAAGAATTACATGAATAAAATACATTACAGATTTATAAGCGTGACAATTCGAGGAACGATTCTCAAAATGGAATAAGTACGTATGATAGATATTTAATGTAAACGAAAGTGTATATAGCTGTTTATTATTTAATGTATGATTAGGATACTTTCATCAGTGAATTTTCAAACTGATGCTAAGTATTTAATTCGAGACCAAGTTTAAGGATAGTTTGCATTCACTGCTGCTAACAATTGGAAGAATTACTAATATCTTAGCAATAATGTACATACTGTAATTAACATACACCCAATCACTATCAAAGTACTCAAGTTTCACTATGACTACATTGTCTTTGATAAACTAGACGTTTATATTTATTATCTAGAATTTTTCAGTTGACATATTTCTTTTTACTTTCTAATTACCGATGGATCGTAGTTTTATGTATTTCTACAAGTCAGTCATCTGATTAGGTCGTTAGTAGTAGTGTTTTTATTTTAAGTGATACAACTTTGATTGAGATTGTAGATATTATAAAGCTCTCTAGCTGAATAGCATTAACACTCAACTTCCAACTATTTGACTATAGATTCAAACTTTTAATCTAGATTCCTTATAGCAGAGTTACCTAAGATGTTTAAAGGTTGTATAAGTGTGACTCATAACTTAGTTTTGACATGCTACATTGTTATTATTATTACCTGTGGGTATCTTTCAGCATTATCGACTATAGCTAACTGACCCGATACAATTTGGCGGGCGCTAATTATAGATCAAACTGATATTGACTACTTTCTGGTAGCTGATAAATTTAAATAGCTTTGTTAAAAGATGAATATGAACTAAAGGATGGATAATGCTTCTAGTGCCTTTGTCTCTTCAAGAGTAATCATATCCCAGTAACATGTACACAATTAGTATGTTAAATGAAATCCTTTTTTTGCAAGTTGTTAGGCAGTTATAGTTGAGGTGACACCTAGGACTGGTGTATATCGGTCCAAGTTGTTAGACCTTACCACAGCATACTATGCATCACTGACATTCGAAATCAGATATAAGTAATACATATAAATAGCGAAACTAATCGAAGAATGAAGAGAATTTGGTGACACAGAATTTAAGATTTAGAGGAGGATAGAAAATAACTTCAACTACAAATGATATCTATTCCACTGGCCCAAACCTAGAAGTTTGTTTATTTTGACATGACTTCTTTATTAGTGGAATAAAATGAGGTCGTTAAGTTACTAAGTTCTCGTTAAGCCGCCACTTCTCTTATAATCTTTATTATTATTAAAGAAAATTTTAATTAATATTTAATTTCAGGTGGTCAACCTATTATTTATCGTGATCAATTAGAAGATTGGTCCGCAAATGAAACAAATATATTTGAAGAAGCATTAGATAAATATTCGAAAGTATTCACAGATATACTTTCTAATTGCTTACCATGGAAAACTCATAAATCAATAGTTGAACTTTATTATTTTTGGAAAACTACAGATCGTTATGTTAGACAACGTCGAACTAAATTAGCTGCTCAGGAACATAAATTAAAACAAGTTTATATTCCAAATTATAATAAACCTAATCCAGCTGTATTATATCATAATACGGATAAAACAATTAATCGACCATGTGAAGGATGTGGATGTAAGTTAATTCGCTTTTTTTTTCTTCCTTTTCCTCAAAAAAAGAAAAACACTCGCTATTTCCTTGATAATTTTGAATTTGATTATTATCCTAAAGAAGTCTAGACAAATTTGTTGGATGAAACGTTGGAATTATTTAGATTTCAATCGCTGAAATTATTTCAAGTATAATTTTCACATATAACGGCTTCTCTATACTCGGCACCCAATTTCTGTCAAACTATTCGTTCTAATATTGATGAATATTCGTATAAATCTACTTTTATTTCATTCATATCTCTTAGTAGAATAAATTTATCAATTAATTTGATGTTGTATTTCTAGTATTATACGATTAGAGTTTTAAAGTGATTCATTTTCTTGAGATATACACATAAAAATAGGGAAAATATCTATGAAAAAAGAATTAAACTAAATCGATAATCGTTTAGTTGTCAGGACTAATTATATTCCATGAAATGTACTTACTAAAGGTTGTCTGCGCTACATTTGTTTAATGATCTAAGTCTTCGTCATATCGTTAGTTCTTTGTTCTTCATATTTCCATCATACTGAGTTATGAGATTCCAGTGAGTTTGATAGGTTATTTGTTGAATTTATCTACTGTCTCTGTTATTGTTCTTATTTACTATAAACTCCACTTTATTGCATATACGTATTTTTTCTTGTTATATGTTTTTCAGTTTTAGAAGAAACCTTTAAAATTCTAGTTTCAGTAACCATCAGTTTCTTTACCGAACTTCTTATAATTAGATGATCATCTTGTGCAAACAAATTTCACTACTAGATAAATACTTTTCTAATTTGGTATTCTAGGTTCATATTGTGACATACGTTTCCTGCTTTTAGTGGTTCTTTTTATTTTTCACATGTGTGACGTAATTTAAAATAGTATCCGTATTATATTTTCTTACTTCCTTGGTGTCTTCATATTAGGTGATTTCTGTCTTATTACCATAAACACGTGGGTTATGTATCCGTTATGTATACACAAAATACACAAATCTCACTCAGTGTGTAACTACTGTATTAGGAAGTTTCAATCGATTGAGTTCTAAATCTAAATTCACCTCAGTCACTTATGTTCAATATTAAAACATGTATACCATTTCTAAATTTTTAGATGATGTCTTCTATTTCAAATGCTGGGTACTTCATACGATACTGACATTTTGATCCCATTAGTTTGTTTGGTTTTAACTGATTCTGTGATTGCATAGACTACCAATTCCTAAAAGATTTAAATAACCAACCACACCATTATTCTACATACTTACCTTAAGATAAATGGGCAGCATATCTTTTCGCTTCAGATGCTGAGTATGCCAATTGGTTCTATTTTTACACAGTGATAAAGTTTGTTCTTTCCAGTAACTTCCTCAAGTTGTATGTGCAGAGCAAAAGCCTACACATCTTAGATTTTTTCTCATTGTATTAACTGTTTTGGTTTTCTTGACTTTTGAGGCTCACATTTCTTGGATATTGTCTACTTAGATATGTGGTTCAACTTGTTAACTATTGCATTTTGCTTAAGATTTTTATAAAGTTCCGATGTCCATCATTTTCTTCTGCAAGCGAGTGAATATAATCTCACTGGGTTGTAAATTGATTGACATGATTTGATTATTTGTATATAGATAGATAAACTAACAATTGTCTAATCACGATCCCATCTTTCAGATATATTTCCACTTTTATTCACTGAGAAATTGAAGTCGTTTTTTGTTATACTGTACCAAAAATTACTTAACATTAAGTTTTCATATATTTTCAAATCGCTTTATGAAAATCTCTTCATTTTAAGAATAAATTCATCATTTTATCGAGAATTTCATATTCGTAAAGTAACTAACTACTTCATATGTTTGTTTATATCTATAGTTGTCTTATGAGAGCATTTGTTTTCATTTATTAACTAAAGCATTAAATTCCCCTCAATGGTATGCATGGGGTCCATCGAATGCTAACTCTCGTCTATGTACTGATTGTTGGTCTTATTGGAAACGTTATGGTGGTTTGAAAAGTATCGAATCTAAAGGTAATTTATTTAATTTGATATATATATATATATATATATATATATATATATATATATATATATATATATATATATAACGTTATATAATCATGTTGCGGGTTATCATAGATATTGATTTATTTGTTTATCTTATTATTTTTTAAAGAACGTGACAAAGGAGAATTATCATCAGCATCATCACATGATACAATATTAACTTCATTTGACTATCCATTTATTCGTTATACATGTTGTCTTATTTGAAGCAGATATTTAGTGTTTATCGAAAGGATACATATATTGATGTAATATTGTCTTAACTTCATGTATGTTGTATTTTTCTCTTAAAAATATGACGATTTACCTTATAAGTTGCCACTACTATCATTACGAACACATATCATCGGCTACATAACAACTAAGTGTAAAACGTCATTGGGATGTTGTTTCATTTCTCTTTATCCAAAGTCAAAAAATTAATGGTTAGTGGATTTGTAATCGTTTTTGCCCTGTGATGTACGGTGTCCAAGTTTGATATTAATATAGAATTTACTTATATATGAGCCCGATCGGCTGGACGAAGGAAAAGGTTGAAAGGGAGAAGCAAGTCTATTGACTAAACCAGTCGGAAATGTGTATATATGTATTCATACATATGTCCGTTAGAAAATTAAGCCACTGATTGTGTATTTCTCATTCCGTAAAAATCCGAGTCATTTCTTGGCTAATCAATCAGGTGCACTTATTATTTGACGAATAGGTAGATCTGGCATCTCGGATTCATCTTAAGAGATTAGAGAAGGGATATTGATCCGTTCCAAAGAACTTCAAAGTTTATGTTGTAAATGGTTTATACTTTTTGTTAGTATTAAACTAAGCCGAAATCGCCAAGTAGCTTCTAATTTTCAGCTGTTTATTGACTATTATTTACTTTCCTTGTTGTGATCTTTTTTTCCTAAGTTATTTACTTCTCTTCTTTACGGAGTAAAACTAAAATGAGTCAACTATCATGTATTTTTTATATAAATATCATTCCATCTATGATCTTGAAGAGAGCAGAAATAAAAATCTGAATAGTCTACGTATAAATTCACTCCATTTCGTAAGATTCTCATCAGCCGCTTTCAATCTGGAATACTTTAAAATCGAATTTATCATAGAAGTTAGCATACCTAGGGAAACGAAGCTTATTACAAGTGAATGTGTATTATCAAGATGAAGCGAAAATTCCATTAGGTTTTCTCAAAATTGAGAATTTTGTTATTTTTCTTTTGTCTTTTCGACTGTTCTCTCTCACAATTGTTTTTATTAATATTACTTCTATTACTAGTGATTTTGTTATTTATATTGCTAGACATCATTCATTCCATTTCAACTGTATACTTAATTGATACACTTTATCCACTACCACCGGATATCTGATTAATTTACACACGTTTACCTTTCATCTTGTCAATTTCTTTTAAAGCTTTAGTTTCGGAACTATCTTATGATTTCTCTGTATTCCACAAATTTTTCCCTTATTTTCGAATCATATTTTCTATCCTTAATATTTTCTACAACAACTAAATACTGTTATTACATCTACTGTCTTGCCATTTGTGCTGGTAATTTCATTTATTTGTGCAGAATTTATGTGGCAACTCGGATTGATTTATATTTATGCCCTAGATTCTACATTGTTTATAACTGAATAAACTGAATCGATTTTCTCTTTCATTATCACAGTTTATACTCATGCCTCAAGTTGTTTGTGTGGTTTACTAACCGCTTAAAGTCTTGAATAGCTATTCAGTTGTAAAATGCTTAGTACTGATAAATAATAATAAACAATAATAATTGTTTATCAATTAATTTATTTAAACACATAAACATTGGCACAAGCAGACACCAAATATATTCTCACCATACTTCGTCATTCGATATGTGTGAGCTGGTCTGGAACACCGTCCGGGTGCCCGAACCGAAGCAGGTGGTTCTCCTAGGAAGCCACTCTCCGAGCCTTTGATCTAGAGGTCTAATCCACAAGGCAGTGGAGCAACCTTACGAGATGCAGTCCCATGGTAGTCGATAACCAACAATGGGTTCATACATCATTTGTTCCCTCAGGATCCTGTAGCCAATGTGCATCATTAGCTTGGAATCGGAATTTTTCAACTCCCCTAGATGGATCTTCCGTACCCACTAACCCGATTAAGGCGCCGGACATTCGCTTTTCGTCCTCCCAATTTGTTATATAACGCCACAGCGAGAAGGCTCTGAGTAGTACTTCCTTGGACCCTCCTCAACCTCAAACGTATCAGGACATTTGATGTTCTGTTGGTCCTTATTCAAGTAGTTCAAAATAATTCTTATTCATATGATGGTTGGCACCTTGATCATCTAGAACATTTTCTTGTCAAGTATAAAACTATCATATGTCTATTTTTGCTGTTGGTTACTGGTCATTATTATTATTATTGCGATCCTTCAACAACTTATACATACATCTTATGCAGTCGGAGTCTCACTGAAATTAGCCATTCTTGTAGTATTTTATGTTTGCATAGCTAATCGATAAATACAATGATAGCAAAATCTGTTTGACATTTGCGGCCATATTTGTGTCAGATTTTTATAATCAATAGGTTTGTATGCATATATATATATATATATATATATATATATATATATATATATATTGATTTTTGTCAAAACAATATGTAATATATATATATATATATTGTTCCATATCTCACTCGTATTCAATCACCGTAACTTTTTTCTTAGTGTATCGCACTTCTTACGAATGAATTTTCATTACTAATATCCTGTATTCATTATATTTTGTTTGTTCTAATAACTCGTCATTATTTAATTAGTTATTGCCTGTTTTTATTCCTTTCTCTCCCTGTCTTTCTCTGTATAGCATCTGTTTATAGTGTTTTAATGTTTGTTACCCATCAAAATGTCAATAATGATAAAGTCCTTTAATACGATTTGGTAATTTATTCTTTATTAATCAGTTGAACTGAATTGATCATAGACTGTCATCAAATAGCAGTCTTTTTGTACATAAATATCATTACTCACTAGAATGTTGCAATATTTATGTCACTTATGTAGTCGATCGGTACGATACAAGTAGAAGCAATTATCCACCCTAGTTTACTATACAAGTGTGTGACGATTATCAGTACCAGAGGAAAGTTTAAAATCGTGAGTATTCAATCACTGATACCTTCGAATCGTATCCGTTTATACTCGATCTACTGAGAAAATGATTTAAGTACTGGAATTCGGGATTTAAGTACTAGGTCCAAATTGTGAATCTTTGTTTAATGAAAAGTAGATGGAAACATGGATACTGCTTTGCACTTTTGTTTTACTAAATATGTTAAAAAGAATAAATTTTTAATATTTAATTCAGTATTAGACATAGAAACCGGTCAATGTCACTGTAATATCAAATGATTATGATTTTTTGCAGTTGTCCTACTAATACTCAAAAATAATAATGTACCAAATTCACTAGGTTACTAAAATCATTTAACATACTAAGTGCATATCAAAAGCTTAATTGAACAAAATATGAACCATGTCTATGAAGCATTACTATCGTAATCGTATCACAGAAAATAAAGACAGAATTGTCTTGGCAACATGTATATATATATATATATATATATATATATATATATATATATATGTATAATACGATCGATATTCCGGAAATGATTCTTGTCGTGTTTCAACAATGCCGTAGTATCCGTTGTTGTTTTTGGCTTTGAAATATTGTAAAGTATTTGAAATTACAATAAGATATTCATCTGAATTATACACTTTCAGCACTCACATCCTATCCAATTATAACACAAACACATTTCTTGTTTCTTTTCAAAATCTACTTTTTATCATTCGTTAAATCGGGGCTCTTTATAGCTGTTTTGTGGCTACATGTGTCTTGTAGATACTGATATGACTTGATCCGTTTGATTACGATAAGTTTTGTGTTTCAAGGTTGATGTATCAATATTTCCAGGGAAAGTTCTTTTTTACTTAGATCTTTTTTTTCCTAAAAAGTTTACCATCCTTTTGATTATATCATCCAAGTTGTTTATTTTAATGAAACAAATTGTGACCTATAGTGTGAACTGTATATTTTTGGGTGACTTTCGCTTTGTTTTCTGACATCCAATATAGAGTTCTTTACTGTATTATACTGTAGAGAAATTCAGTCATGCACAACAGAGAACCTGGTACGTATATGCATCGATCCAAGCTGACAAACTACATTAGCGCAGCCAAATAAAATGATCAAAGCATATCTCAGAGTAGTAAATGTAGTAACAGTATTAGCGGTAATAGGAAATATTAGACGTAGAAGATATGATTAAAGAAGAAAATATGGATTCATGATATAAAAATAAAATGGTACTTTAGCAACTTAGGATCTAAGGGAAGACGAAAGCTGAATGCACTAGGAGGGCTATTGTGAACTATCCTGAACCATGTCACCCAAAACCTCTAACCATCGGTTGCGATAGTCACAAGGATTTCAATAAGGTAGTTTACACCTACCAACATATCTCAGTCTAAGAGTCAGCATCTTCATGGATTGATGTAATGTTTTGATTTGACCACTCCTAACATTCCCAAACAAATCGTCTAATAATAATTGTAAATATCATTTCCTAACTTTTCTCTGACATTATTCTATTTTTAGAGCGTCCTACTACAACCTTACGCACTCAGCAACAGTTAAACAATTCAACAGTTGAAACTAATTCAAAATCTGGTGGTCCTATTAACATTACCGGATCAGTGAATCATCAATTCAAATCTCATTCTATTGGCTTATCAAGTGGAGTGAGTGATATAGGCTTTTTGTTAAACATTTAAAAAGTTATCCTGACATACTTTGTAATCAATTAATTTTATTCAATAATAGTTTGTAATTGTACTACTGAGAGAATTATAATAAGTATTCTGATGAGTTATAACTAAATAACTACGTGAATATAGCCATTTTTTAGTAATATAGTAATTTTCTTTTACCATTTATTTACAATTATTAATTTAATAAATGGATCAATGTTAGACCACCATTGAAAATCTGGATGCTCTGGATGGCCGTTTCGTCCTAGTATGGGACTTCTTTAACATTGATCCATTCATGATATCAGTCTAAGCTCAACAATCTCCACAACCCTTTACTGATGATTATTAATTTGTTTACTTGAACCTTTATCTAATTGCCCTGTATTAATTTCCATACAAATTGTCTTGACAAGTATATGTGTGACCAGATTGTTCGAAATGTATAGCGCAAATACGTCACATTTTTCAGATCAACGTCGTCTTCTCATTGTTCTATTGAAATTTATAAAAGAGACTATTTGCTTTTAATAGCTACATTTATTGAGCTGTAAACTTTGCATATTTTGGGATATTATAAAAATAGTGACTTTATTCAACTATCACAAACCATCAGTCTTGAAAAGCACTGAACAAAACCCTCCATGTCAAACTAATACTATTAAAATGTAGTTTGCTTTGTGAATTGTATATCTGAAGTTAGATTCTTATCAAATGGTGTTATATTTATTCAAAGCATTTGTGTTGTTAGTCACCATTGATTTATGTTTTCATTGTTACTCTTTTCGATATATATAGTCAGCTACAACGTAGGACCAGGCACATATATGCATCGGTCCAAGTTGCCACACCTCATTAGCACAACAAGATGAACACCTAATTCATAGAAGCATTTACTTCAATGTTAGTAATATATAAAAGAAAGATTGTGTATATGGAAGAAATAAATAGTTCATAGAAATAAACGTATAAAGTAATTTTAATCTCACAGTTTAAGGGAAGACAAAGCGTGTATACACCGACGCCATTGTGATTGATTCTGAGCCATGTCATCTATTACTTATATTTTCATAGCAAAAATATTCAAATGGTTAATATAGATTTCTAGTTAAAAGTAAACAAATTATTCTCATTTGAACGAAAATCGTCTACTATACATAAGTTTGAAAAAGTCATCTGTATTTTATTGTATTACGGAGAAAACAAGACAATGAATCTGTCGTAATCGTAGAGAAAATCAGTTGTTTTATTTCACTTCACGATACTTCACTTATGCACTCAAACAACTTTATATGTAAACTTCTCGTTTATTTATGAGAATCGAAACAGAGGTAAACAGAATTTGCAGCTACAATCTATCCACCTACTGAACTAAACTACTTAATTAATGTATGATACCTATTTAAGCTCTTTAACTTATCTCTTTTTTTCGTACCCCTATCGCTTTTAACAATTTGTTATCACAGTCATCATCACATGAGTGATTAATATGAAACCCCCTCTTTCTCTTTAACACATATATACATAGTTATTCATGTACATTCAATTCTTATGTGGCCAGTAGTGTTATCATACCTGTCAGTCACACTCAATTTATATGTATGTGTATCTATATGTATGTGTCCGTGTTTGTGTGCTTGTCTGTCTGTTTATATATCTATAATTTTTCTCCAGTGTCGTCAGCAGAATTATCAGTTTGAACTTCCATAAGTACCAAGTCTCATGTCGCGAAAGTACTTGTGTACATGAATATTCATCAAAACTCAGACACTTATTTTCACTAGTCTTCACTTAACTGTCATAGTTTTAAATTATTGCTTCACTTCTTCATTTCTTATGAGTTGTTTTTCTACACTTTTGCTACTATTTCAGGCTTTAGATGGTGGTGACATTGATCCATATACAAATGACCATCATCATAATAATAATACGTCTGCTACAAACATGACTAATAATGCTAATCTTTCCGCTGCTAATAGTAAATTAATTGATGGATCTGGATTCTTCGGTACTTTAATCGGTACCCCAAGAGGAACGCAATGCTTTAGAACTCCGTCCATTATACGTCTAGCACGCATACTTTGTCCAAATCTTGTTCAACCTCTACGTTTAGCTCGACATCCTGGTGGAGTACCGGAAATTTTCTCATCTAAGCAACAAGTCCAACATGAAAGCGAATGCAATGAATCTAATCTAACAGGGATGGATAATTTGTCTGAATCTAATATGATGTTGATGTACGCAACACTGAAGGCTGCTGGTCAGTAATTGTGATGATAATCGTAATATTACTAATAATCAAATGATATTTTTTTCAGTCTCTGTACTTTACTGTCATTTGTACTAAATATTTGTACTCATAGCAGCATACTTTGATAAGACTTCAGCATCTGTTTGTATGTGTCCATGTTAATCAACTCAAGATCTTACTTATTCCTGTTACTCATCGTGGAGGAGCATAGTCCACCCACCAGGATTCCCCACCCATTTCTGTCCTGGGCTCTTCCAGTTTTTTCCGAGAGCTATTCATTCATCCAATACCCGATTCAAAGTGTTCTTTCGTCCTCTTTTCCTTTTGACTCCACGATTCCAAGCATGTTAGGGTATGCCTCATAATGCAGTTTAATGGTTTTCGCAACGATTGTCGTAACCAACTCCAACGTCTTTTCCTAATTTCCTCTTCATCTCGGAGCTGATTTTTCCTCTATCCCAGCAGGTTGTTGCTATGTTATCCGGCCAACGGACATAGAGTACCTTGTGTAGATAATTGTTTATAAATATCTGCACCTTTTTTGATAATGTTTGTAATAGTTCATTAAGTTTCAGCTCCGTTCAGTAGGAATGTTTGGACGTTCGTATTGAAGATTCTGACTTTGCTGTTGGTTGATAGTTGTTCTAAGTTTCACATATTTTTTAAATGTAGGATAGCTGCCTTTGCGAATTCTTGCCTTTACAGCTGCATCAGATCCTCCTTGTTTATCAACGTGAAAGTTCCCACCGCCTTCCAGAGTTTCTCGATCAAATGTGATTGGTTAGGTGTTCTTCGCGTTGTACTTGAGGATCTTGCTTTTCGCCTTGTGTATATCGAGGCTGCTGCCACACTGGTTGTCTTGATCTACATCTCTTGGTGTGTATGTGGTAGAAGAACTAGGTCACCTGACAAGTCCGAATTGTCTAGTTGCATGCATGCTGTCAACTGTATTCCGTAAGTCTCTCCAGATGTGCAGGTCTTCATAATTCAGTCAACCACCAGAAGAAAAAGAAAGGACGAGCGAAAGCAGCCTTGTCTGACTCCGGTCCTCACTTGTAATGTATATGACAGTTGTCCTCCATACACCTTAGTTGATTTATAGTGGCGAATTCCATTCATTTTATTGTTCAGCAATGATCCACAGTGTCACAATTTGGCCCGTACATGACCTATCCTTACGGAATCCGGCCTTTTGATCTCGAAGTTGGGTGTCTTCTTAATCTTTCATCCGGTACTTCAACACTGTCGAAAACTTTTCCTGGTCATATTTTTTCAAACGTGTCTGCTCATAATCTAAAATATCGCTGAAATCTATTCATTGCCCGGCACTTATCTTCCTATTACCAGTATGATATTTGTAAATCAATTAGTTACATAATATATGTTAGGTTCCCGTGCGGTTTACTGTTGAAATTTCTGCTAAGTCACAATACTTTGTGCTTATTTTTATTTATCACATTTGTCCTGAATTCATTGTTTTGAAAAAAAATTAGTCGGCAAGGACTTCTTTTGTTTATCACGTAGATCATCCTAACTTCTATTTTTGTAATAAAAGTTGAAGAAAGAAATTGTTTAGGATCATCACTTTTTGTAGTCCTTATTTTTTATTTGTCGTGTTTACCTACTTATTAGTAGTTAAATAGTGCCTATGTATTTTAATTACCTCCCACGTTGTACTTAACAAAGTATTTTTAATCCTTATGTTACAAATCAATCACTTTCGTGCGTGTCTAATACAGTAAAATTATCTTCGCTAGAAAGATTAAGATCTTATTGATATGGCTACTAAGTCTTTATATAGCATATCATCTACTGGATATTTCTCACTTTACTGATTGTTCTCTAACACGTGACGTCCGGAATATACTTTTTAGAAGATTAATCTTTCATTGTTACCTTACAACATGTGAATCATCACCAAGTTTTCACTTTTTATACATTTTTCTAACTTTAGCCCAGCCGATAATAGCACGTATACACGATCCATCAATTTTATTGACTCGACCACGGAGAGCACGACGCTTAAATGATGTGATTGATTCAATGGCTTCACGTAAAGGTGTTGTGTTTCAGCCATTAGATCTATCATCAACTTTAAAGTTGTCAGTTGCAAATGGTCCTGTCTACGATCGTAAACGTCCTCATTCACCTGTCTCTATAAATGCACCATCTTCAAAAAAATTACATGAAACTGACGATAAAGTAAATAAGAGTAAAAACTCGTCAATGTTGACAGAAAATATCACAAGTGAAAAATGTTTAACTAATGGAAAGAGTACGGCATCTGTTATGGGCACTAGTCCGTTTATTACTAAGTCCGATTGTTCTTTTTCATCCGCCTCCACTGATGTTTCATCCAGGCCAAAAAAATCAGCATTAACAACTGATCCTAGTTTAATTAATCAGAATTTAATTTTAACTAGTAATGGAATTTCTACTGATGACAGAACAACAATCATATCGAAATTTGAATCGGAGCTAATTCAGGTGTGTTATTTTTTCATTGATTTATTCAGAAAATATATGTCTGATGCTTTAGATTTTTAAGAATATGAAGCAGTCTCGGAATATACCTTTATTCTAAGTTTTTTCGGTATAAACTTGTGGCTGGCTAAACTCTACCTGTTTTCCTTTGCCATTAAAATATTAGTTTATTGTTGAAAATAGATCATTACAGCCTTTATTAGTCATTTGAATGGTCATAATTTGATGTCATTCAAACAATATGATACTTGATTATTTCCGCTTTATTTGAGTATCTAGCTTAGCTTAGGCCTTTATTCGGTCTGATGTATTCAATGACAAATGATCTTATGCTTTCTATGTCAACTGTCCTTCGTATTTTCCTTGGACTTTTGGACAAATTATAAAATTCAACACAGCATTGGCATGGAAACGTAGCACATTTTATTAAATACCAAAGTTGACTTCACAAGCCAAATGTTCGTGTTGTTTTTCGTAGAACTGAACCGTCACCGTGTTATTGGTAACATTGTTGACTACTATCCGTGTCTTCACACGCCGTTTGTCTGGTAATTGAGATTCAGCATGTGGCCTCTTTTCTTCGTCCAAGTTTCCTCCATTTATCTCTGAATTCAATACATAAAGCATTCGTACTAGATACACATCCTGAAATATTGGTACCAATTAAAATATATTAACTGGCAATTCTCTATTCAAAAGCTATATATCTTCAATCAAGATTGGTATTCTTCCTTAAAATTACTCTCTGGGTTACTGTTGATTAGATTATTCAACAATTAATTGACTTTTTTCTGTAAATGGTCATACTTGAGTGCATATTAGTTTGATTCGAAGCATAATCAGAATTCTAGTAATAGAACTTTTGGGTGGTCAGAAAGTGTTTAGTTAACTGTACAAACACCTATCTAACCTTTTACCTTGTCAAATAACGGTATGCTTTACATAGATATTGGTCACCCAATGATATACTTACAACTTATCACAATCAGAAGCAATTAAGATCTATGGTGTAGTCCTTATATTTCAGTGTTATACTGGGACAGTAGCCAGCCTTGATCTTATCGTTATCTTTTAGTCAAATAAAGAACCAATATTTCCGATTAGTACAGCGTCTCTAGATACGTATAATAAACAAACTTAACCGCGGTATCCATCTAATTTTGAATCTTAGCCATTAATGGTATTTAGGATATTATTTCTACTTGTTTCTACAGTGCTTAACTTTTGATAATGTTTCTTTTCTAAACAAATAATTTAGATTATTGTTCGTCTTCATATTTATCAAACTGAATTTCTGCTTGTAGAGTGCCTAATATTATTATCTCTGTTTTTTTTAACAGTAACTCCACCAGGGTCAAAGAATGTATCCGAATCAAATTTACTTAACTAATCGACAGTTCCCTGTCAAACCAATGTAAACTTGTGTGTTGCTCTTTCTTCCTATCCCCTCTCCAACTCCACTTCTTTTTATTGTCACTTCTCTTTGAGAAGAGTTGTTTGGCGTAACCGATACTCTCTTATGCACTTGTGTTTTCTTTTTTTTTCCGTGTTATCAGTGTTATTAATAATAACTAGCCACGTCTAAAATGATGAATGGTAAAAAAGGTACTAATCTCCTATTTTTCCTAATGCCTTTTGTCTTCTCATTTGTATTTGTGAATCTTTATAGTCTTAATTTTGTGGACTGAGGTTCTGTATTTTTATGTTATTATTATTGTTATTATTATCACACTATCATTATTGTTATTATATTATTATTACTATATTCACTGTTTCGTAATTTCACTTCCCTAAAACACTACATGCTTTTGTATTGATAAAAAGTTATTCATACACTTCGCCGTACCCATGACTTTATTCCAACAATGCTTTTTTGTGCGCGAGTGAATGATTTACCAGCTATTAATATTGAATGCCTGTCCTTGATACGTTTTTTGTATGCCAACTATGATATTAAAGAGTTGTAATTGTAGTCTATTTTATCTGACAGTTTCTTTGTCTTAAATAAACTACTAATTGTTAATATATTTTTTTCAAGAAAGTGAAATTTTACCACGCAGAACTAAACGAAAATTTCCACACACACCTTACAATTTTTTGATGCTTAGTGTTGACAATTCACTAAATTTTGTAAACAGACGTTGTGTACTATGGAATGTTGTAGTGATTTTAAACCGTTTGTCTCAATTGGGAATGAATATCTTCATTTGTCCATTGTATCTAAGCATTTCACTTACGCACATCCACCTTTATTGCACTGTATTGTGTTTTTTTTTTCAAATACAGGCTTATCCTATAGATATTTCTTTCTAATAGCCCATATTTCAAGTGATACTTTATTGTTAAGTTTTCGGTTGATAAGTTATGCTTTCAGTAAGTTTTGCTCTGCGTTAAGAGTGAATAGCGTCTATAAGATAGAAATGCACAAAGATTCTTTGTGAAACTAAATCCTATTTCATTCAACTTTCGATTAGTTGCACTATTCATTTCAGGAACTCTAATGATTATCATAATTTTATTCAGAACTAAAAATCTGATTTATTTTTCTTAGTACAATAAAGCATTATGATTCAGTCGAAATGATTGAATTTGAGTAGTATGAAATATCATGACATTTTCATGCATGTTTAAATATAGATATTTAGACTAGAATTAATCGTAGGTATTAATTCCTCTACTTTTTACAGAATATTGTTAGCGGTGTTATTAAACAGTCAGAGAATAGAAAATTTGACAACATTGGTTACTCATACCTATTTTCGTTAGTGATTGATATATAACATTTATAGATATAAGATGATCATTGTTGGTGAAGATTTTGTTTTATTCACGTCGCTTATTACTTATTCTTGTAACAAGGAATCACCACAATTCCCAAGATGTGTGAAGTAACAGCATTAAGACTGGTACAAATTGAGATTCATTCACTCCAAAGAACACAACGATAACTGTAGTAGAAAATACATTCATTTATGTTTAGATTTATACACTTATTTGATTATTGTCTAGTTACATATATGAAAAATACCCTGAATTATCACATATTGCTTATCAAGCTGAATATAGTTCACGTTGATTCAACACAAAGAATATCATTATCTTGAATAAAGCGCAAACTGAACATTACAGTGAATAATTATCATATTGAATTAAAAACGAAAGTAATGTTGAACAAGAATTATAATAACTTTAATAGTTGAGATCATGAGTTCTAGTGGGAAGCAGTGACCAGTGGCGTTCAACGGAGTTTGTTGTGAGATAGTAACTCACTGAAGACAATAGTGACTAGGCGTTCGCGCGCGATAACCATAGGTCCTGGGTTCGAATCTCGCAAGGCGAGGTCGTGGATGTGCACTTCTAAAGAGTTCCATACTAGGACGAAACGGCCGTCCAGTGCTTCCAGATTTTCCATGGTGGTTTAGATTCAATTGATTCATGATCTCAACTATTAAAAAGAATTACAATAAGTTAAGAATGGAATTTTGTCTTTTTATCTTATCAATTTTATTTAGGATTTAAACGATATTTCTACAGTCGATAAATGAATTATACAATTATTTACCTTTTAATCAGAGAAATAAAGATGGAAAGAGAGATTGAACTCTGAACAATCAAAATCTTATTCAGTTTACGTCATTAATATACAAAATTCAGTATTTCTAAACACACTTTGTTAGATGTGATCCTACAATAAATGTGAAAATAATCAATTTCATGTTACATTTAATAGGTATTATTTTATTGAGCTTTATTTCTATATAAAAACTATGCTTAAATGAATATGGATCATTCAAGTGGATACAGACTATTCCTCTGTGCCAACATAAACTATTATATATGGTCGAATATTATTATCAAAATAAAATGATTTGTAAATGCATTATTTCTTATACTACTAAGCTATTGGTTTTAGCCAATAGATATTGTAATAAGTAGTTATATAAATTAACCAATAATTACATTTGAATGGATTATGAGAATCAGTTAATTAAAAAACGGTTCTTTGGTATTTATAAAATCGATATTGAACATAAATAACAGAAACCATTTATGACTGGAAAATTTTGTATGCATGTACGCAGTACAGCAAGAATGTAGTCGTGTTTTCGAAATATTGCAAAAACATGTATTATGGATATAATGATTATCACTTTTAGTTTTAATAAGAATACACTCGACTTAATACCATTTCTCATAAAGATTCATTGAAGAGCTACAATTCTAGTCATTGGATGACGCCAAAGATAACGGAGTATGATTGGCTATATTTTTTTCAACGTTGTATATTATATTTTTTCTGTAATTTCAGTTGCATTACAAACTATAACGTAAAATAACGGGTAGCCCACTGCGTATATCGTTAATTAAAAGAAATTGATAAAAAAAGGCTCATTACAAGTATGATAAAGATGCTTAGTATATAACTATAGTTTATAAGACGAACTTAAAACTACATTCACCTACGGTTGTGACTGAGTATTTTGCTGGGAGATGAATTCAAGAATTTTCAGTTATGACTCAAAATTAGATATCAGTTTCATGTTGAGAAAAAAATATCCATTAGAATTAAATCTAAATCATACGAAAAGATCTACTTGACGATTAACTCAATCGAGAATAATAAATTTTCCAAACAACCTAAATTAGGGATATTTTTTATTGGATGTTAAACATTACAAACAATGAACGTGATAGTAATGTGGTGTGCACTACTGATGCGGACAGACATAAGTAGTATGTGGCTGGGATTGGAAGTAGAATACTGACTAGTAGAAGAGTGAAATAAAGAAAAAAAGGGAAAGAAATGAAGAGCAATCGGAATGACAATATGATCGAAAGAATGATAAAGTATGTAAAGAACAAATGGAGGAAGACCTGCGAATGATATATTTAATATATTATTTGTATACTTTACAAATCTACTTCTTGATTTCCCACTAAACTATTATTTGGTTTTCCTTATCTGAGTTTTCGTTCATTACAGTAATTTGCAATAGATTGGATTATGTAATACCAATGAATAACTATAGATTTGCTTCTTCAAGTTTTACTGAACATAGACCTATATAATATATGATCTATGGTTGTAAAGGTTTATCTAGTAAAAATAACTCTATACACAATTTTAACAGAATGAATCAAAATTAGGTGTAAATGAACTACTATTTTATGGCTCAAACAGTTTAAAATGTTTATATCTGCTTAAGCTACTCTGTGAGTTTGCTTTTATGGAAAGCTTACAGTTCAATCCTTTATAGGAGATCTTCATGATAGTGACAAGCTCCTCAGGTACTCCATAATGCCGAAGAAGATACCACACCGTTCTATTCATTCTGTCGAGCGTTTCCTGATCAAGAAAGCTGATGTATAGTGGAGAGTCCATTCGATTAATTGTTCAACAATAGTTCAAATTGTTGCGATTTAGTCGGTCCTTACGAAATTCAGCCTTTCAACCTCCAAGTTCTGTGTCTACTGAATCTTTCATTTAGTTCAGCTACACTCTCCTGAAAACATTGTCTTGGGTTGACAGAAGTTTAATGACTGTAGTTTTCACGCAAATTATGGTATCTTTTTGGGGTGTCCCTCTTCTTAGTCGGTTAGTACTTGTTGTCCTAAATCTTTATGAAGTGAACATGGAACAATTTTGCTTTTGGTTCTATATCTGATTACAGTACTTCAGCTGTCTGTTTTTGCTGTTTTGCTACTCTTGACTTGTCCGATAACCTTCCTAATTTTTGTATTGTTAGTGAGGTAACGTGTATAGGAAAGTCTGTGTGTGTTGATTCTACATCCGATAGGTTCAGTGGGGCTGCTATATTCTAGAGCCCTTCAAGGTGTTCTACCCATCTATTCCGCCTTTCTCGAACACCAATGATTAGTTTGCCTCCTTTGTTCTTAACTAGTCGTTGTGATTTACCAAGTTTTGTTGCAGGCTTCTTAGTTGTATCACATAGCTGCCCAATATATCCTTCTCATGCATCTTCTTCTGCTCTTATTGCTAGATTCTCTGCATATTTCCACTCAACAGCTGCAATACTCTTGCTCAGTCGTCTATTCTCTTCTGTATATTTGGCCTGGTATTGGCTTTGTGTGCTCTTATTTAGTTGTTAATGATGAATTCTGTTTTTTCTTGAATCTTCCCCATGATATCTATAGAGATACATTCTTAATGCTGATCAGAATCTTCTGATATACTGAATTTGCCTTTTCTGTAATCCTTTTGCAGTTGTTCGCCATAATGGTTGTTTTAAATTTTAATAGATTTTGTAAGGCTTGGAACTTATTACTGAGATCCAGCTTGAATCCACTTAGTTTTTTATCATCTCAAATGAAAACTGTATCAAACGTTTTCAGCGCTTCTTATCCAATTTTCTTATGCATCTTGACCGTAACCAGATGGTGATGTGAAGGTATATCAGCTCCTCTGTTTGTCCTTATATCTTCCATCTGCCTTCTGATTTTTTTAAAGATGTGATCCATTTAGTTCTCTATAGTGTGGTATGATGAAATTCTGTATATGTTATTGCCTAGAACGGACCAAACAATCTCTCACCATTCTCGCTTGTTTCTCTTAGTC